TGCATATGTAAGGTTAACTCAAATTCATCTTGGTTTCTCAGGTTCAAGACCTTACACATTTACCATTTGCGGCTAGAGAGTTAATGATCATAAAGGTCGCTGGGAACACCTCAGCTCGCAGGGAAATCCTGGATATTGCTGAGGATGTTTTCAGGGCCAAAACGGTTGATGTATCAGGCCACACAATAACTCTTCAGGTAATAATTACTTTACCCTCTTGGGTCCAACTACTAGATTTAGGACTTTATATTCTTTTGTTGGTAGGTAAATCAGTCGGTTTTACCTAAGCATTTTCTTAATTCAATCTAGACATGTTGATTGTAGACAGCAGAAATATGAACATTAATCAGATACAGCCTTTACTTGGAGCATTATCCGTATAGCTGTCAACTAGCTGATAAAAATTTCAGTATATATCTGCTGCTATTTTGAAATGTATGGTAGTATTTATTAATATTGATTTAAGTTAGATAATAGGGATATGCAACAATGTGGGCGTTTATAGATTGTTTCAGTGTCATGTATCTATGGCTATACCGGCAAATCGTATGTCTGACATAATTGTAATCCATTTGAAGAACAAAATTTGACATAAACTGTATTTATATAAATATCTCATAAGAATTCACTTGCCGGTATTTCATAGAAACATTTCCATTAACTCAAAGCTCGTGCAATGATTTCCTTGTTTTTTCTATGGCGTAATCAAACACCCTTTCGTTGGTATTCTTATTTGTATTTAATCCTACAATTCAATAAGGCCGGACATTGCGATCCTACCCTTTCCATTTTCCTCTATTTCTTGAATCTTGCAAAAGAGTCCCGCAAGGACAATATAGTTAGTGGCATCAATAATTTGTCTTAACAAGCAATAACATTATTGTCATGCAGCTTACTGGAGACCTTGATAAAATGGTTGCACTACAAAGGTTGCTTGAGCCCTACGGCATCTGTGAGGTTCGTACTGTAGGTTTACTTTTTTTTTTGAAGCTCTTGAGCGGTTCACTTTGCACATGCACCATACTATCCATAATTTGTGTTCGGTAGTGGATTAGTTATTCCTCGATTGTGGAGTGCTTAGGCTAATGGAAATTGTAGTTTAGTAACTGCAAATTTTCCAACGGTTATTTGTAGTCGATTCTTTACCCTCCTTTGGCCATGCTTTTGCAGATTGCACGAACTGGCAGGGTTGCGCTGTGCCGTGAGTCAGGAGTCGATTCCAAGTACCTCCGTGGCTATTCCCTTCCTGGATAGCGTGTCAGTTGGTGAGACATCACACTCGATCAGTTCATGGATTGCCATGATTCTCCTGATCTCGGATCTCCTAAACACCCTCTGTGTGGTGTTTCATTCCTTTCGGAGCATACAGCAAGAACACAGCTGTTATAGTTTACGTTCACTAGATTTACACTTTATCCTCAGGAGTTTTTGCCGTTTGGGATGTTTGAATCCCATGTGAGCTCACGGAGGCAGAAGAAACCCATCCATAGTTTCTACGCTGAGGTTTTCAGCTTTGAAGTTTGTTGGTTGATGAAGACTCTTTTTTTACTTTCTGAACCATAGCTAATTTAAGTATTTACACATTTTTTTTACCTCTAAAGTCATATAGAATTCAGGCCTGCTACTTTGAAGCCTTCAATTAGCACCAATCAAATATAATTTTCCCTGTGGTGATGAATCAAATTTAGGACCGTGCTTTCAAATTGGGAATCTACACGTACGCTTTTAGCACACTAAAATCCTAGCTCCTCTCCGTGGCAAATGTCATGCTCGTTACGCTTGCAATATAGGTCATTTTCCCACTTGCCCCAATCCCTTCCTGCATCACTAACATTAGAGCAAGTACAATAAGATGACATAAACAGACTACAAGGACTAAAATATTATATCTTTGCTTAGTTGGAAGAGAGAGAAGAGGAGCGGGCTCTTCACTACTATTCCCTTCATTCCAAAATATAGTGCGCCCGTGCTTCCTGAGGTCTAACTTTGACTATAAGTTTAACCAACGAAACCGTCTCCACGGAAAAAAAATATAATTGAAAATTTCTTTTGAATACGAATTCACTGGTATAATTTTTGCTCCGCCACAGTCGGTCTCGTTGGTTAAATTTATGGTCAAAGTTGAAGCACGGGAATAGAGGAAGCACTATATTCTGAAACGGGGGGAGCATGTCCTAAAGGCATCTTTAGCCGATCCCCTAAAATACTAAGGAGTACATGGCCGAGTAAACCTTGTGCAGTATTTTTACTCTAAATTTTGGTTGTTTCTAGGTGATCCCCTAAACTTTGTGGAGTAAAACTTACAATTGGTTTATGCATTTCATCGAACACTTTGCTATGCGCCTTTGCAGCGAACACCAAAGATGGTGACCACACCATCGCTGCTGTGGCCTCTTCCACTCCTCCAACTCCTACGTGGCGCGTGAAGCTTCGGCTCCGGCTCACGTGCGCCATCGCCACTAGCACGCGCGCTCTGGCGGCGACAAGCTGGACAAGGCGGAGCCATGGCGCGTGAAGCCGCGATGGGTGGTACGGTCTTGCGCTCGACGGTGGGGTTGGGTTGGCGGAGACCAGCCAAAAGAACCAGGAGAGCGCCACCGAGGAGGTGTCACGGCCGGCGAGGATGATGTTTAGCGCGACGTGCTGCAGGGAATCGTCTGAGTAGGTCCCCTTCCGCATGAAGCGCGGCATGAGCTCATTGTGCGGCGTTGTCGCGCCCGACACGTCGCTCTTGCCAGCGAGCTCAAGCTTGAGCGTCTTGATGACGACGAAGGGGTATTGGTCGACGTGCTCGACGCTGCGCGCCAACGTGCTCTCCATGCTGAGACCCAACCACTTCTTGCACCGCCACACACACTCTTGGAAGATGAAGCAGTTGAGTGTGGCCTTTGTTGGTCGAAGGAGGTGAGGGGAGGCCATGGGCGAGCGTCTCCGGGTCCTTGCCAAAGGCGAGGCCGCAGATGGATGTTGCTTGAGCGCGGCCGTCTTGCGTTGCAACACCTAGGTGTCCCCGTCAGAGTTGCAGATGCTGTTGCCGAGCAGATCCACTGCGAGGTCGCCGACAAGGCCCGAGGTTGTCGCCGTCGACAAGGGGGCTTCACGTGAGTCGCCGCTGGCCACAAAGGGGCCTTCACGTGAAGTAACCTTTCACTCCAGCTGGCTGCGGTGGAGTATTTTTAGGAACAGGGGAGGCCCAGGAGTAAATTTTTTACTCCTTTGTTTAGGAGATCGGCTAGGTGACGGTTAGAGGAATAAAACTAAAATTTTACTCTATAACTTTTTAGGGGATCGGCTAGAGACGCCAAAGCACATCTTTTCTCTTTAGTTGTGAATATACTCCCTTCATTTTTATTTAGTCCGCGTATTAGCTTTAGTCAAAGTCAAGCTTTGTAAATTCTGACCAAATTTATGAATACAAGTATTAACATACACAATAACACATCAATACCATCAGATTTATTGTTAAATGTACTTTCACATCATATAAATTTGTTATAGTAACTGTTTGTACCTTTTTCTATAAACTTGGTTAAACTTTACGAAGTTTGATTTCAGTCAACTCTAATATGCAGAGTAAATAAAAATGAAGGGAGTACTGAATAATTGCCGGTGTCTGGGAATTCGCACCCTGCTACATTAGGCCAGAACAGAACCGCTAGCCTCCAAAACCGAGGTTTGAGCCAGAAATCACTTGCCAAACGTGAAGCGTGAGCTTAGTTGTGCATCTTCTGCAGAAGCAGAGCAGTCAAACCTGCTAGTACGTATTATCTTTTCGCTTTTCCTTTCACTTCCCTTCTCCTTTTCCTTCTTTCTCCTTCATTCTCCCCTGTCCCAAATGAGACGCCCTGCTCTCTGCTCCCCTGCATTTCTCCTCCACCTTTCATCTGCACTTGCTGCATTCATTCTTTCCTCCCTTGCCTCACGCCCTCACCACAAGCCGGTGGTCTCTCTCCCTCACGCGTGAGATCGATCGATGTGGTTCTATGGCGTGCCAAATCCTGCCAAGTTTCTAGCATGGTATCTTGTCAGCGTGTCCTGCTGAGGTCGGGGCACCACCCATAACTAGCCCTCTCTTTGTTTCGCTCAGGTAATCTAGCTACCTCCTTGTGCCTCTTCTGGCCTTCTCTATCGTCCTCCCCAGCTCTAAACCACCCGTCTTCTAACAAAATTTGTACAAGATGTTACTAAGCTTCTATTGTTTTTAGCAACCTTCTTTATTTCTCAGTGGGTAACTTCACAGATACTACTACTTACTGCACCACAGCATGGGTGTAATGTTTTAGGCTTGAGCTACCTAATGTTAGAGAGAAATCAACAAATTAGTGCGTATGTTTGCTACCATGCTGCTTTCTAGAAACTTTATTCTTGCCTTCTGCACCAAGGAACCTGATGATGGTTAAGCAAAAGCAGAAAGTTTGTTTCTGCTAACCTGCTTCTTCATAGTGAGAACAACTTTTTTGCCACCATAATTTGTGGCATCTAGTTTTTAGCCAAAAATTAGAACAAATGTGGTAGTTCTAGGGGAAAATGAAAATAAAGTGGTACTGGAGTAGTTCTGTGGGACACAAACCTGTAAAGTGGTAGTTTTTTTTTTGTTAAATACTCATTAGGTTAAGCATATAGGAACCGTAGATCCCACTCCTTCATGGCGATGATCCTGCGTTATAGAACAAATTAGAAGTAACTGAAGACTTACTAGAGAAAGCATTATCTCACAAGGCTGCAACATTGTCAAGTTTATAAAGATGTTTTTTTTAGCATATGGTTCCAAGAATGAATGTTGTACATTTCTTTTCAAACTGCACAGTCATATGTACATTTCACTTTTATGTCTTATTTTCTAAGTTGTGCCGGTATTATTGCTTGGTACGACGTAAGGTAATCTATTGCGCAACACTGACACGCAAGCGTATGTGTCATCGCAAGCAGGACATCAGAGTGAAGGTGTTTTGAAGGCTAAACGAAAGCATGGCCATAACAAGGGAGAGCTTGGAACAAATATGGAGTCAGTGGGAAATCCAGCTGGTGGTGCTCCTCAGCTTCACCCTGCAAATCTTTCTCTTCTTCACCCTGCAAATGCTCTGCTCAGGCTTCTTACCTGGCTAGCTTATGTTGCGGCAGACATGGTCGCCGTATACGCCCTTGGCCTCATATCCCGAGATGATCAGAGCACCACGACATCGCCTGGATCATGCCATGGGAACAAGGGATCAAACGGACTCTCCACGGGCACAAGCCGCCACCTAGCGTTCCTCTGGGCGCCTTTCCTCCTCATCCATCTCGGCGGGCAGGACACCATTTCGGCCTTCTCCATCGAGGACAACAACCTGTGGCTGAGGCACCTGCTGAACCTGACCATCCAAGTCTCCTTGGCCTTGTACGCCTTTTGGAAGTCGATAGGTGGACGTAACCAGCGGCTCCTTGCTCCAGCCGTCCTGGTGTTCGTCGCCGGGATCATCAGGTATGGGGAGAGGACATGGGCGCTCAAGTGCGGTAGCCGGAATGGCCTCAAGGAAACAAGCCTGCCCCCATTGCCTAAGCTGAATGTTGAGGTCGACAAAAGCAGCTATGTTGGCACCATCTGCTACGTTCTAGGCTCAATGGCTGCCATCCGGGATCTTTTCTCAGGGCGCACCACCTCCCAAATGAAAGAGCGTCGAGCCTTCAGGTTCCAAGAAGACAGGCCCCTAGACCAAGTGCCCAAGCTGCTGGAGGTCGAGCTTGCCATGATGTACGATGATCTCTACACCAAGGCCATGGTGCTTAGAACAAGGACATGCGTCGTGCTCCGGTGCGTCAGCCAGGTCTCCTCTATAGCTGCCTTTGTGCTCTTTCTAGTTGGAAACGACAGACAAGAATACAGTGGAACCGACATCGCGATCACCTATGCGTTATTCATCGGTGGATTAAGTCTTGATGTTTGTGCTTTTGTTCCGATTGCGATGTCGCCGTGGACTTGGGCCTTCTTCAAAGCTCGAAGGTGCGAAAGGCTTGCCCGCATTTCTTGGCTCGTTCTCTCAAGTCGCGTCGGCTGGCCGGAGAAGAGACCGTTGTGGTCCAACTCTATGGGGCAGTATAACTTCTTGAGCTCATGTATGGGCTGTGAGCAATCAGCAACATCATCCAAACTAATGACTGTCATGAGAAAGATGTTAGACGCGGTTGAGAAGAAGCTCTTCGTCAGAAACCTACAGCACACCAAGCATGCCAAGGTGAGCAAGGTCGCGTGGGTTGGACGCCTTTCCCGCGAAAACTTCACAAGGATGACGCAGCAGCAACACTGGGCGAATCTTCGCCCAATCATCAAGGCAACACTGAGCTCCGCAGCTAATTCTTTCGGCGATAACATCATCCTCTTGCATACATACACAGAACTGCACTTGCGGAAACGCCCCAGCAACATGGATGACGAAGCATTATCAGACATGTGCAGGAAGTTGGCTAACTATATGGTGTACCTCCTGGTTGTGCAGCCTTCCATGTTGCCACTAAGTGGCACCGCGGAGGACACGTTGGCCGGACTCTACGAGGAGATGAGCAAGAACGGCAGCCGCGAGCGAGATGTCCTAGACACCGCCTATCATCTGGTGGAAGACAAGCTGGAGTTCGGCTATGAGGAATGCCTGAAAGAACAGGAGCAACCCGGGCCGTGGCGCGAGACGCTGACGGAGATCCAGGATATGTGGATGAGGCTACTGCTCTACGCGGCCGGCAAGTGCCCCGTGGAGATGCACGCCCAGCAGCTAGGCAGAGGAGGGGAGCTCCTCACCATGGTCTGGTTGCTCATGGCGCATAATGGCATTGGAGACGTTGGTGATCAGGTTGAGCTTATCACTAATGATGAAACTATGGAGGGCCCGTTCTGTGCATTTCATCTTCCTAAAGAATCAGAACACATGTCTGCATAGGTAGCTCTGCCGTGCTGGTTTGCAAGCCAATGCCAAATGTATGTACTCCCTCCATAAACTAATATAAGAGTGTTTAGATCACTATTTTAGTGATCCAAACGCTCTTATATTAGTTTACAGAGGGAGTACTAGTTATGTTTTGGGAGCCCAAAGCACTTGGATATAGTAATATTTTCTCTTGGTTTCTTATTTCTTTGGTGCTGTAAACATAAGTACCAAGTGATAGGTAACTTACAGCGTTTGGTTGTTCCATATTTCCGTGTCAAGATTTTAGCTCTCGATTGTTTGGTGATGTAAACATAACGTTTGATTGCTCCATATTTCCATGCTAAGTGGCCAGTGCACATGCGCGGGCAAGTAATCATCTATTGTTTTATTTTAAAAATTATCTATTGATTTATTTTTAAATATGTACAAAGCAAGAGTACAAACATGCCGGGGACGCCTCCGGTGTATGCGCGGGGGCCGACGGCAGTGGCGGAGGACATCGCCTCACTTCCGCGGCTCTGGGGTTGTGCGGGGCCCCGAATCGTGTGGAGGCGCGCCCGATCCGATCGGCACGACGATGGCTGTGGCGCGGCGGTGTCGGATGCGGCGTGGGCTGCGGGCGTGGCGGCCAACCCTGTTCTGGCGGCGGCGCGCCATCTGCCTTTGGATCGACGGCGGCGGCGTGGAGGGCCTGGTGGTTGCGTCTGTGGCACCTCCGATCCGATCTGTTCTGACTGGTGCAACCAGCGGTGGTGGTCATCTCTTCCGTCAGAGGCAGTCGGCCTGCGGCTGGGTGGCCGGATCTCGAGATTCGTCATCTAGTCCCGGCTACGAGTCGGGGAGACATAGTTGTTGGTGAAAACCGAGATGTTGGCGGGCGATGGCGGCGTTTTGCGCCGCTACCTTGATGAAGGCGTCGTCGTGTAACTGTTGTCGACCCACTCATGCTGCTTTGGGGGAAACCCTAGGATCTGGTCTTCCAGATCGGACGATGGCGGTACTACGGTGTTGTTTCTCTCTTGGGAGCATCGTTTGTGAAGCAGCACTGAAAGACAGAGGCAGGAGGTGGAGCGGCTTCGTCTTGCACGGAGTTTCGGTGGAGCTGTCAAGTCATGCCTGACCGACAGGTGCTACGCTGAGTCATGTCTGGTTGGCAAGTGCTACGCACGACAGATCTTCTAGAGTCTTCGCGTCTTGACAGACGAGCGCAGGGCAAATGCGCCATTGGGTCTCGTGGTGGCGTCGACGGATGTCCGGACTGATAAGGATGATGCGGATCTCCCTCCTGAAGATGGGTCAGTGGTTCGATGACGATGGCGGCTTCTAAAACATGTGCATGTGGTGTGCGCTTTAGGTAGGCTGCATCGGCTGTTGGTCCCGATACGTTAGGTTGATGGATCGGCGACGACACCGATTTTAAATATGGGGAGTGAGAGCACTCCACATTATCGAGTTTGTTTGTGTGAGTGGTGGCTTCTGATGGATTGATGTATATTCCTGTCAGGCCTTTGTGGAATAACTAATAAAGATGGCTACATGCATCGATTGATGCAGAGACCGGGGGTTTAACCTCCTTCTCTGGAAAAAAAATACTATAACTAGAACATTGCTTTTTTCTGTATACATGGAATCAAACCAATCCAAATGAATCCGGAAACTTCTAGACATGCAAAATAAGCATGCCAAGCACAAATAAAGCATTATAACTTGCATTAGAGTTAACATTGACCATCTTATATACATCCGCGACTTACAAAAGTTTTAAGCTTTAGTTGATAGTAAGAGTCCAGAAATTTCTTAAAAATCAATGTACAAGGGTCAAACTGCTACTTTAATTAATCATGTAATGTTAGTTAACCCTTAAATATATAATATATATGCTTTCAATTTACATGGATAGCCGGATAAATATGTGTTTTTAGGATTGTATGTCGACCACCCTCCTTGTCATAAGCCATGCAACAAGATATTCACTTGCATTATACACTTTGATTTTGCAAAATTACAGTTGATCTTTAATTATTCATAAAATAACTATAATTAAAGATCTAACAGATGTGATACATTGATTATTAAATAAAACTCACTAAACCAATGGCCGGATGTCCGGTTTTATTGACCATTTCTAGCGGTTGCTCTCCTGTTATGCCATATTGTGACTTTAGAGCAACTCTAGTAGAGTCGCCAAATCGGCCTGATCGCCATAATCATCATTAATATGAAAATCTTGCCGAAAAAGCCAGTCTAATAGAATTGCCATCCCGTGCCCAATCGACATGATTTTTGGAGGTCACTCCAAATTGAACCCGCAAGCTTCCATATTTGGCGGTTGTGTGATGTGATATAGGGCGCGTCCACCCGCACACCCCAAAATCTTGGCACCACGGACATTTCAGGATGTGTGCTCCCTTCGGCCGCTGTTCACATCCCTGCGGCGCCGACTTTTGGTGCCACCCCCGCCAGCCGGACCGTCGTGATTTGGTGCCTTTGTTAAGCCCTAACAGGACCTCCCACGCTTCGCCACAGCCTTGCACCGACCTCCCACTGTTCGGCCGCGCCACCCCTTATCCCGCGTGACCTCAAGGTGTTCGATGAGTTGCCTGAAGGTAAATTTCCCCAACCTTTTCTTGTAGATTTAGCTTAGCGGCTCAAAGATTCGCATGGATGACATATGATTCACAGTTTGTGTAGATGGATCGAATGATAGAGTTTTGTTTTGAGGATTCATCATCGGATTCAAGATCTGAGTCCGAGATTGAAACCATGGATGACGAAGAGGACGAAGTTGTGTGATGGTTGATAAATGGATAGCGGCAACCGGAAGGAAGAGGAAGTGTGCGGGATCGCAGGTTGGTCATCTGACAGTTCACCGCAACATAATTGAAGGCCACAATAAGCTCACATGCCACTAATTTCTTTCGGCTTCTCCTTGCCTACATGTTATGAGGCTTTTACATGACCGAACGTTGTTCCGTCAAATTGCCGACGACATGGAAGCCAATGAACCACTCTTCCAACAACGGAGAAATGTCGTCGGTCTCTGCTGGGTTTTCTTGTTTCCAGAAGGTGATCGCGACGCTTCAGATGGTTGGATATGGCACTCGTGCAGATGCCTTAGATGAGTATTTTGAATGGCCAAAGATACCATCATAAAGTGCGCAAAAGTGTTTGTCAATATTGTGGTGAGGATTTATGGAGGGAGGTATCTGCGAGCACCTAATGTCGAGGACACGTTGAGTCTTCTAGCGATGAATGCATCAAAAGGCTGGCTTGGGATGCTAGTGAGTGTTGATTGTATGCATTGGAGGTGGAAGAATTGCCCTGCAGCTTGGCATGGCCAATTCACCTAGCATTGCCATGACCCAACAATATTTTGGAAGTGATTGCCTCCAAGGATTTGTGGATTTAGCATTGTTATTTTGGTTTTTCTGGATCTCACAATGATATCAATGCCTTGCACATATCTCATTTGTTTGCAAGGCTAGTAGGTGGTCCTTCTTCACCTTGCAATTACATTGTCAATGGCCATCAGCATGACAAAAACTAATATCTAGCCAATTACATATATCAATCTTGGTCAACATGTGTGAAGACAATTTCTAATTCCTAGACCAGGAAATGTAGCATTTTGCAAAGGTGTAAAAACCAGCGAGGAAGGACACTGGGAGAACATTTGGAGTGCTACAAGCTAGGTTTGCAATTGTCTGGGGTCATGCTCATTTATGGAACAAGGATTCCTGGAAACAATCATGAAATATTGTATGATCCTACACAACATTGTCATGGAGGATGGGAGGGATGTGCCAACCCCCATGGACTATGAAAATGTTGGTACAATCGTCTCACCTTGCCGACACACGAACGACATTCAAACATTTCTTGGGACATACCGAAAGATTGAAGACTGGGCCTCCCATGACGAGCTGAAGGAGGATCTCATTGAGCATCCAGCTGGGAGATAGTGTGTTTAAATTTATTTATTTTCCTAAAAAAATTATTGAATTATTTGTTGCATTGGGCTTATTTGTTGTATTCAGTTTAATGGTTTGTAATGATATCTGTTGAATTGTTTGATCTCAACTGGAGTAGTAGAGTAGAAAGAAGAAACCAAAAATATATTATGAAGGCCACATTATGGGGACTCTATGTTTGTGCACAACCTCCACAACATCTAAAATATTATGGAGCGTGCTCCATGTGCGTTATGTAGACTATGAATATGGCGACTCTGCTAGAGTTGCTCTTATAGTAGTATATAAATACTGCTACTCATGGTAATACCACTCAGTGGCGGAGCTATCATATTGAACCTGGTCGAGCTACTACAAAGAAAAGCCCACTAGTTTTCCTCTCATGGTCCAGTCTGCTCTTAATCCCTCGTTGTTTTAGTCAAGGTCTAGGCGGGCCATGGCCCACACTGTCGTGCGGTTACTAATGTACTACATCCGTCCTGATTTATAGGTCCCCTTTGTAGTTTGTGTCAAATTTTGACTAAAGATTTAACTAACAAAATGTTAATGCATGTCAAAAAAAATTATCTTATTGGATTCGTATTTAAACATAGTTTTTAAAAATATAATGTTTGATGACATGTGTGAACATTTTGTTAGTTTAATCTATGGTCAAAATTTGACACGAAATACAATGGGAACCAATAAACCCGGACGGAGGTAGTACCTATGAATGCCTGTGTGCTCCAACACATGCATGCCCCTCTGGATTTTTGCCCCATCTTAAGTGTATTTTGCCTTAACGAGACATAAATGGTGTTAGACATGTGATTTAGTACCTCCGTTCTGGTTAATTGCTTCCTATTGTATTTTGTGCCAAATTTTAACCATAAAATTACCTAACAAAATGTTTTTGCATGTCACAAAAAATTATATCATTAAAAATTATGTTGAAATATGAATCAAACGATATAACTTTTGTTGACATGCATTAACATTTTGTTAGTTAAATCATTGGTCAAAATTTGACACGAATTATAAAAGGGACCAATAAACCGGGTT